ATACTAACTATAGGATATAAAGCATAAAGGGGTAAGCAACTGCATACTGCAAGAGCTAGGGTGGGTGGTAGTAGTGCGTAGAAACTAAGATAGTCTATAAAATAGTAAATTATCTCTCTACAGTGTAAAAGACTTACTGTAGATGCGTAATAAGTTAATGTTTCTTTAGAAAACTCTAGTAGAGCTAATTAAAATAATATTCTATAGTTATAATAGCATATAAGTTAAGTGTTGCTTAGGTATTATTAAAGAGAGATAATAGTAAGATCTATAAAATAATTAGTGTAGCTATAGTGTAAACCTATAGGTAGAAGATAGCTAAAGAGAAGAGAAGAAAAAGAGAGAGGAAGAGAGAGTAAAAGAAAAAAAAAAAGAGGGGTTTAGTATAAGTACTAGTATGTATTGCTAAACCCTCTCTTTTTGTCTGCTTCTTAACATGTATATATGTAGTAGCACACGTGATAGGTAAATTTACTGTAATAAAGCATATATTATAATGTAAAATTTGCTAAACTTTATATAAAATACTTTTTTAAGGTTAATATAAAATAATTATTACATTTTTAGCTAGAAGTTTTATTTATTATCCTAACATGTAGCTAAACAGCTTAGCATAGGTCTAGCTAACATGTAGGATAAGAAGATAGCTAGGGGGTAGAGAGGGGGTTTTAGTATAGGTACCTACTTGCCACTGCTAATGCACTAACTACATATAGGCTTAGCACGCGCGCTAGCTATAAACAACTATTTACAACTTTATAAGCTCTTTTTACCTCTATAATCTACTACTCTCTGCTCTAGCAGCAGAAGCAGCAGCAGCAACAACAACAACAACAACAAGAACAGGTGTAATTTTAGCAAATTTAAATAATTTTAACTAAAAAAGCAATTATAAGTTATTTATAGGCTAGCGCTAACTAGCGTAGTGTACTAAAGTTCTAATTAGCTAATTCTAGCTTATGTAGTGTTTTCTCTAAGTCCCTTTAAGGCAGTACCTATTCTAAAAGCTCTTCTCTCTCTCTTCTTATTTCTATATCCTCTACCTTTATTTGCTACTTACTGTAGTAGAAACAACTTATTACACTCTAACAAACCTGCCTAAGAACTAGTTAGAAACAGCTAAGTCTAATATTAGTGCTAGGCCTCTAAGATTTAGTAAGTGTTTTTTATATTTACTAGACTTTTTATTATAGTATGCCTAGGCTAGAGCTAATAGAGGGGAAAGAGAAGGTTTAGCTTTATGTACTAGTACTTAAGGCTAAACTTTTTTTTTTTTTAGTACTTATCTTTTTTTTTTTTTTTAATTAGTGCTTATGCTTAACTCTTTACTCTAGTACATATCTTACATATTTTATAACATTATTAAGTTTTCTAGTAAACTTATACTTATTTAAGTTTAGGCTTAGCTAACATTATAATAAAGTTATAGATCTAAGTGCATCTTCTAGCTATAGTTAGGCAGAGCCTAAAAAGTAGTGTAGTTAGCTTTAAACTTACAGCCTTTTACTATATCTAGACACTAATTTTATATCTTAGTTAGCTTCTTTAATTTGCTATTTCTTTAAAGTTTAAGATTACTATAAAGTTAAACTAAATCTTACTATAAACACATTTTTTAAAAATAAATAGCTAAAAAAGTAAGCTTAGGCTAAAGCTATTAAAAAGTCTATTACTAATAAGCTTACTAAATTAAACTAAAACTTAAAAGACATTAAAGTAATTAAGTAAAACACTAAGACTAGTAAAATTATTTTATATGTAGCTATATAAAGTATTATATAGTTAGCTCTGTATTTTAATGCAACCTAGGGCAAGCTTTTAGACATAATTAAAAGTAATTATAAATTTTATAAGGCAACTAGTTAACTCTAGCGCGCCTATTTTTACTGCTTTAGTAATGCTAAAGGACCTAACCTATAGATAGTTTTTAACACTATTACTAATAACTAACACTAAAGAACTTATTATTTTAAAGGTATGCTAATAAAGTTCTATAATTTTAAAATGCTGTTAGAGGTTAAAATATATGCTTTTACACTAAAAGTAGTTATATTTAACCTTTTTAAATAAGCTAATAGGCTCTTTTATAGTTGCAGTATTTTTAAGACTTTTGTTTTTAACTAGGCATAGAATCTTATTAAGTGTTTTAAGTAGCTTAGTAGCTAGGCTAAGAAATAAGCAGCTAACTCTAAGCTTTATAGTAGTAATTATGTTACTGTAAATACTATTACAGCTAATGCCTTAAATTCTAAGATCTTGCGTGTAGAAACTTTAGAGGCTTACGCTAGACTAACCTAGTTAAGAAAAAGTAGCTGCGCTAAGGCTGTAAAACAGATTAAAGCGCTTAGCAGTAAACAGGTCTCTAAGGAATACGCTATCTACCCTACTAAGCTAGAAGAAGCACTTAATGTATTTAAGCCTAGCCTAGGTTCTAATTCTAATTCACATTTACATTTAGATTTAGATTTAAAATTAGATTTAAATTTAGATTTAAATTTAAATTTAAATTCTAATTCTAGCACCGCATTAAATAGATTAAGAGAGGGCGAAGAGGAGGCACCTGCGCGCGATATCCTAGGCGGCAGAGACAGCAGTAGCAGGGTGGCGCGTCTAACTTTCTAGAAAGGACATAACTATGGTTAGAGTAGAGGCTACATAAAAAAGAAGAGAAAAGCTGCTTTAGTAATGCTATTATTCTTTAGCTACCTAGATGTAAATAGGGACAAGAAAAACCTAAAGTAGACATAGTTTAAAAATAATAAAGTGCATAAAAAGGTTTATATCTAGAACCTACTTAACTATAAGAAAGTAGACTAGATAGATAACTACTGCTCTAACCTAAAGTTTAATCCTAGCAACATAACAAAAAATAAGACTCTAGAACACAAGCTTCCCCCACACACTAGCAGTAATGTTAAAGGAGAGATAGAGAAGCCTAGCTAATTAATAAATAAGCTGCTTAAGTTAAATTATGCTTAAAAAAAAGTTTTACTATATGTACTAGTACTTAACCTAAAAACCCCCCTAACACTTATTAATCTACTGCAGACCTAGACCTAGACCTAGACCTAGACCTAGACCTAGGTTCCTGTTCCTTCTTTAGAGCACAACAAGGTTTAGGCGTCTACTCCTACGCAAGGCCCTATTGCCTCTGCACTAGAAGCCCTATTAAGACTTAATGCTTATAATAAGAATAAAAAGGCTATACTTAACATTACACATTAGAATTAACTTATTTGTATCTTACATATGTAGACTTTATACCTTTTAGCCTAATTTAGCAATAAGAAGATTAGCTAACATTTTAAAAATAAATATTTTAATAGCGTGTTAGCGTTTGCTGCTTAGCTACTAGCAGATTAAAAATATAAAGCTGCTTACACTATACCCTAAGATAGTGCTAAACTAGTAAACACACCTTAGACATAGATGCATAGTAAAAATAAAAAGGATCTACTAAATAAAAGTTTTATAAGCTTACTAAAGACTAATGCAGTGTTTTATAAATATAAGCGTAAAGCATTAGAGCTTATGTTAAATCTAGTCTACTAGCCTTAGAACTATTAAGTAGCTCTAACTACTAATTTTATCTGCTATAAAAGCTATCCTTAACTGCTAGAAATAACATCTGCACAGACACCTGTGTAGTAGCAGATTACAGGGGCTGCTGCAATTGCAAACAAATATAACACATTTATAAAAAACAACACTGCACTACATAGTGTGTGCTTAGTTAACTAGGTTAGTATTAGTAAAACTAACACTATTCTTTTTTCCTAGAACATTATAAGTTCTACTAACCTTATTTATTTAAAAGATTACTAGGGTGCTAAAGAACTAAAAAAAAAGACAAAGAGAAGAGAAGAAAAGAAAAAAAAGAGGGGGGGATTTTAGATTAAGTACTAGTGTACTTAACCTAAAACACCCCTCTTCTTCCTCTCTCTCTCTCTCTTCTTCTTCTCTCTGTACCTATCTTTATTCTTTATGTGTTGCTTTCTTATCTAATTTAGACACTAACGCTCTCTAGTATCTTAATAAGAGGAAGATTAAGCTTTAGTAGCTGTATAATAACAAAAATTAAAAAGCTTTTAAAAATTATCTTACACCTAAGCTGTTTATCTACACTACTTAACTTTATCTATTTAAATAGGCTGCTATTAACGCTTAGAATTTCTCTAATAAATATTATGTTATTATTTATGCTAGTAATAAGTCTTGCTTGCTTAAGCAGATTAAAGAAGTTAAATATATTACTAGCACTCTTAAGCAAGACTATTTAATTTTTAACCCTAAGAATAAGATAAACTCTTAAGTTATCTTTATTACCCCTTATAGCATTTTATACACTTAAAATAGTTTTACTGTGCATAAGGATTAGCTTCTTAAGCAATACACACTCTTATAGTTAAAAGAGATAGATATTAACTTAAACATTAATTACTTTTATCTATTTAAAGAATAGAAAGGTTATCTAGTAGGCATATTCTAAGCTAGCGCATTAGATAAAGGGCAGTAAGTGCTTGCAGATGTACTCTAGGTTGCTAAGGCTATGCTTACATTCCTAGGTATTATAAAACTTTTAACAGTATAGCTAGCTACGCTGTTTGCTAGCTTAAGCTCCCTTAGACTATAATTATTACTGCTACGCTAATTCCCTAGAAATACTTAGATTTTAGAGGCCTACTTAGTCTAATCTAGCAAACTAAGGTTAATAAGCAGGCTAATAAACTTCTTAAAGCAAATAAGCTACACAATCCCTATAAAAAGTACACTAATAAGACACTAGTTAATCCTAACATTAGCTATCTTTACTTTACATACTACTGCTTTAATAAATTTATCACTAATAAGCTAGGCCCTATAAAATAAGGTAAATAAATTGCTTAGATCTAGTCTAAGGTGCTAATCTAACATAATTATACATCTAAGTGTGTTATTAACTCTAAAGGCACTAAGCATATAATTAGAAACTTAATGCCTTATAGTTACTGTGTCTAGGTTTACCTATCTCCCTGCGACTGCTGCGGATCAGGCCTTGTTCGTCTCGATTGGGCATCGCGCTGGATCCGACCCCCTTTTCGCTCCTCTTTTTGGCCTAGATCGGTGGACTTGACCATGGCGCCACCTATTACGGTATAGCGTATAATTGCTCCTTTGTGTGAAAGATAGCTGCTTCCTCCCTTGTTCCCCTAGCTATTGCCAAGACGCAGGTGCGAATGCAAAGAGTAAGAGGAACCTATCTAGAGCGCATCTTTCTTAACAATATCTACTGCAATGCCTCTTAAATACTGCGCACGCAGGCATTGCGCGCGCATTGCCGCACCAGCTACCA